ACGACTATATGGTATGTTACTATCAAACATCAATGATATATTCCATCTGTGTTTATGTTTGGAAGTATTTTTAAGGAAGGAGTAGATATTATAAATTATCATTTGTTATCATTTCTGAGGAAGATAAGTATACATATATATGATTTTAGAGTTTATGAAGAAGGAGCAGGAAGTTAAAATGGAAAGAACTAACAGTACATTCTAACCTTCCTGGATCATCGGACAATTCAAACTGCAAACTTTCTCCAGCAAATTCCATCCTCAGTGCTTCTACAAGTTTCATACAATCTAATCCAGTGCATATGATATTTTCCACCTCACTAGAAGAATGATTAACCAGTGGACACCTGTAGTCTTCGGGTGTTTTTGCTAAAACTTGATAAGTAAGAATGAATAGAATAGAAATATAATTTTCATACAATTTAATCGATTCAAACTTTAAAATTTTGGAAAAGCTCAATTAGTTCATTATTTAATTTGCAAATGACAAGAACAAATAAAATTTTTTTATCATGGATAAGAAATAATTACATTTGACATCATTTTGACAATAACCGATACCACAGCTTCTTGTTTCGATCCTAATGGAATGACTCACGGAATGAACACCCAAATGTACAACAAGCTGCAAAACGATTTGGTATATTATTGATAAGCTCTAATTATTCATTTAGTTGCTTATGTTGACACTGAAATTTTCGCATTTCTTGAAATAATATAATGTGGGAATTAAATACATTTCCTGAATAGTAAAACACGGAAACTACATACATTATGAACATTTTCAAAGTTAAACATATTATACATTTGCTGTGTATATATAAGTAAAAGTGAAGAAATGTAACACGATGCTAGTACCATAGCAATGCTAAACATATATAGCGATGCCAAATGTCCAATTTTTTGGCATCTTAATAATTTTAAGTAATTCCTGTAAACACATCAAAAGTGAAACTTACATCAGGACGATATTTCTGCCAGAGTTCAGACACTATGTTATGCACATCATCATATGCTACTGGCATCACCTTAACAATGATCCTGGTATTTGATTGGATATCCTTGATACCTCAAATTAAATCTGAGCCGTAGATTGATAATGTAACTATTTGTCTCCTTCTTTCACTGTAACTGTTAGTTATTTGAGAGAAAGCATTATTCGTCGTATTGACTATACACCTTCCCTTTAGCAAAGTCTACAATATCACTTAATGAAAGGAAAGAGATAAAACAGACTAAACACAGAGCGAAAAATATAAATAAAGTAGGTCTCATCCATCTTAGCCAAAAGAATACTGAACCGTCTTTGGCAAGCAGCCGTACCACTTCTTCACTGGGATTATTGTCGAAGAATCCGAATGGACCGAATCCCGTAAGGACAACCGTCAGTTGCGATTCTGCTAGATTTGTCATATCGTCGAAAACCTACAGTGATGTACGCTTAGTAACATTAAAATATAGTTTATCTTTCTCATGCACTAATTTTCAAGACATCTTGGTTTAATCATCTTAAAAAAATATAAATTTTAGAACATTAAAAACATAAATTTTAGAGATGCACCTATTATTCAATTTCAAACCTCCAAAAGTGAGATAGAAGAGTTTTCATCTTATCCCATCAACGTTACAAAGAATAGTGTATGATCACTACCTGAAATGTAGCAATCAGATAAAACCGCTCCAGTAAATGACCACATACCGAAATATTCATCCACTGCATTATCCGAACAGTGCGGACTTTCGATATCCATAAGAGGCACTCTGAACTGTTGTATCTTAGCTGTTTCGTTAGTCGCTGTGAGTATTATTAAGAACTTAGTTGGACTGTCTGAAATGAGTATTGAATAAGCTAGCAGTTGTTGTTTCCTTTTTACGATGGCGAATAATGAAATATTTGTTATTTGGTTGTTCCACTTATGATATGTATTTGTTGAACAAAACTGTTATAGTGTGAGAGATGTCGGGCAAGAATTTGACATACAAGAAAACGTCGATAACAGCTATTTTGCAAGAAGATCCACCTTTTATACAGAAAATTAAGGAGAAATTGGGCTACAAGCCACCACCAACAATCGAAAATAAAGTTGTTTTTTTATCAGCTTTGATTTTCTACAATTAAATTTATATCTTGTATACCGAAAATATTTCCTCTTTATTGTTTGCTCACTTTTGTAGGATTTTTGAGGAATTTTAACGATAAAACGTATTATTCATTTATGCAACAAATGGTTACACATTTCGATAATGATCATCGTATAGTAAATCTACTTTGTACTATGGCAGATATTTATAAGCTATTAGAACTTGTTATTTATTTTGTAGTAAGTTGGCAAATTCTGAGTATTCTTAGTTGGCAAGTCGAGATGGAAAACTTTTTGTTTTCACTGTGTTATAGTTTTTAATTAAGCAGGTAGATTGAGCGATTATCACCTATGATTAAGTTTTTATGCTACTTAGTATTGCTAATCCCAGAAATTCCGGGGTAAAAACTCTAAATTTGAGAAGCTGATTACAATCTTTATAGTTTACAACGACTGCGGGTGAAGGATATATTGAAAATGATCTCGACGACGATGACTTGTCACAAATGAATCAAGAAGACAGACCTCAGGTAAATTTTGATTATCTGTTGTATGTGTAAAAGGATTTTTCTGAATGAAATCGATTCATTTAGATCGTTATTTTGGATGCTCAGAGAGATCTGAACGAGAAGGAACTAGAAGCTGAATTAGAGAAAAGACGCACTGAAGAAGATCGCAAGTTATTTTCATAGATTTTTCTTATATCTTTTTTATTGTGAAACCAGTTTTGAATTCAGCCGAGAAAATTTGTTGAGATATGGAGAAAAAACTGTTATTTTTCAGATTATCTCACGACGAAGTAGTACATTCTTATAATATGAAATTCATTTAGGATGAGAAGGGAAGGGAAAAAATCTCATATTTGGCTACTGTAAATGCTTGTGGTGGTTTATTTTAGACTTTAGACTGACATGCTTTACAGAGCGGAAAATTGAAGAAGGGAAAATAATTTTCAAAAAGCCAATGAAACGGAAAGATCAACACTCTGAGGAAGAAACAACTGAGAAACGAAGGTGTAAAGAAATGAAGGAAATAGACATTTCGAATTCAAGATTGTTATCGTTTAACGAAGAGGAAGAAGATAGTGACTAATACAAGAACTTGGAATTATAAAAAATTTGTAAATAGCCCTTTTTTGTTTTTATTAAATCTTATTAATGTCTGGTGATTCTTCGCAGTGGTCTCACTTGGCGATTATCGATAATTGCTGATTCATTGCTCTGTTGTAGGTTTATTTTGACTTTTCATTTTTGTTAACGACGAAATTGCTGGACACGGGATTTAAATCCGGAATTCCGGAATTCTAAATTTAAAACGCAATCCGGAATTTAAAATGCAAGTTCATTGTGTGTATAGCATAATTGGTAATTTTCCCTCGATGTTTATATAATTTGTTTAATAAAGGAAAATAAAGGAAATTTGTCAATTTCTTGAGTTGTTGGTTGTCTGCTTTTTTGAATCTTCGATGAAAATTGTTGCTCGAAATTACAAGAGTTTAGATCTCCCATCAATATAGAGATGTGATCAGATATATTTCTCTTGATTTCATTGCAACAAATCGTGATTGTGCATGGATATAAACAAAATTTAAAGTGCTAATTGGATTTATGTGTTCTCACCAGAAATCGATTCCTCGGATATTTCTTATCACAAGAACAACTTTAATTTTATACCCACTATGTTATGCTCCTGCTCCCTTAATCGCACAGTATGCAATGTTGGCAATATTCATTTCTTCAAAGCTTGAAAGAAAAAGCCTACAATATTCTATGAAATGCTGATGGCTGGGTGGATTGTCGGAACTTTTAAGATTCTTACCATGTAAAATGCTGATTACTGCAGGTTTCTCCTTCAGCTATGGTGACAGTGTGCACAGAGCGAGAAAATTAATGAAGATTATTCTTTTATAATTTTTTGCAGAAGAAATGTTCATAACTATCAAAAATAAAAATTTGACACAGTCGTCGTTTAAAACAGTATAAGTAAGGCACCGATCGAAAACGATGTTACATTGGTCCTGTTCTTATTCCCCACTTCATTAGTTGAGTTTTCCATTCAGGCTTTGGTGGGCAGTGATTCGAATGCTTCTTTTTCTTCATATAAACTTTTTCCATATCGGGTGCGTTTTTCCTGGGAAACATTAAAAATTTCAGTAAATTTGTTGAAAAAATTGAAAATTGTGGTGAGAACCATCTCATTTCTATTATGCTTTTGGGGCGAAATTCAGGGCACTAAAATATTCACAATTTGTAATAAGTTTGAAAACTTAGGCTATAATAACCTGAAATAATTCCGCAAGTAATTATCAATGTTGGAAAAGGGCTAAGTATTTGTAATATTATCGTTGAAAAATTCATGTGATACTATTATCTTTAGCTATCTTCTTTTCTCTAAATCTTTTGACTCTAAAAATTTTTTGATTTTTTTTGTTCAAATACTTCCCTATTCTTTCGTTTTATAATGCTTTCGCATACATCGTATCTTTTACTTTCTAAGACCTGTCCCATAATTGTTTATCTTTTAGTTTATCAAGTGAATGTTGATAATCAGAATTGTATCAAACAAATTTTAAAATTAAATACATTCAAGTGATTTTGCTAAGTGCACGGAACTTAACTTACATATTTACTCTTTTGATAAAGTATGGTACCAACGAGCAACACAGTGAAAAAACAAATGGCAACAACGGTACCAGCTGTTGCATACAGCTTTTGTCTTGATCGCCTCATCGGCCTACCAGTTCCTAATATGATTTCTTCATTTTGATTTTCGACATCGGCATGACGAACCAATCGACAATATTGTAGATTTGCTGGTGTTCGGAAATATGGGCATCCCTGGTAGTTTTGATAGTTTGAAAATTCCAGAAATTTCATTAATACTTTTTATAAAGCCATGACCAATAGGACTAATGAATACTTCTTTGTTGCCACTATAATCTACTGATTTAGATCCCTTTTTATTTTCATCATTCAATTTTTCAGCTCGCTGATCTCTTTCCACTTTATCTCAGTTCCAAAAACAATTTTTTTGCTCTTGAGCATTTAAAAAAAGAAAGTACCATAGATGGACAGTAGTACGAATCCTGAGAAAGTACAGCTAATGAAAGATTATAAGTAGGTCCAGTCATCAACCGATTCCATAACCATTTTGTAGCGTAAGAATGTCCTTTTCGATTCAAAAGTGGAAGATTTGGAATAAACAAAGAAGATGGATAACGAGATGTAATCGTTAGTATTGGCAATGCCAAAACACCAAATTTTTGTCGCTAAAAATAAATCTAAATTTAAACTCCGAATTGTAATTAATTTCACTTCAAATACTCTTTATTGAAAGCCTAGTTGTCAAGGGCTTTCATAGACAAATTTTTCACCTTTATAAGCGGCTGTTCGAAGTGGGCCTGTAATTGAGCAAATGCCTTAGTCCATTCTCTACTTAATTCTTTCATGAATTCGTCCGACTTTTTCTTGGAACAAGCACAACGAGACCTAAAATTGTATATTATTTATTTATTAACGGTATTCGTTAACTCTAAATCAAATAAATATAAAATATCTAGAGTTAGATAAATTATAAACTAAAATTAATTTACTTGAGTAAGTTAGCTTCTCGCTGATGGGAGAATGAGATATGGATTGGTCCAAGAAGTATCACAAGAGCATTTTGAATGCCTTGATTCAGAATAAGCAGTGATTCTAACAGGGCATTATAGTCAGGAGCCTCGCAAACTTTACAGATCTGCAGCGAAAAATTGATAGGTAAAAATAAAGTGATCGACTCTTATTTCGAAATATTGACTAATTAGTGAAAGTGGAGAGTTTTTTCCATAATACTGAATGGTTCTGTCCATTTGGATTCTAAATATATGGAAAGAGAAAAAATAATAGATATTGCCACTTAAATTAATCAATCTTTAACAGACAGTCAGGAAATACTTCTACCTCATCGGTACCAATAGTGATAATGACCATCGTCCACTCGTTGTTAACATCCACTTCGCGTAATGCTTTAAGTCTTTTGACCAATTCTTTTGCCTAAAGCCAAAGCTGTTGTTTGTTATTTAGAAAGAATAACCTCAAGAAAGCAGTAAATCAGGATGGGTGATCGTTAATTATATGTATACAGTTTAATTGCAATGTAATTTAAGGAGGCTCGAATTTTCATCAGAATGCAAACTAACAACCTGTAAAGGTATACTGGAAGAAGAAGCACCGCTTTCCGCAACGTTTAATTGGTGATAAGGCAGCTGGAATTTTGTACCCATACCGTGTGATACACCAACTAATTTGTCATTAAATTCACGCAATATGTCTGGAATATTCGTAATTAATTACGAAGATCATCGTAACTTAACTATGAAGAAATGAAGGTAAATTCTGTGAGCAATGATACTCAAATAGAAGTGAACAATTAAGTAAATAACTACGCAGTTTAAACGCAAGTTCTTGAAATTAAAAAGAAACAAATACAAGTTCTTGAAATTAAGAAGAAGCAGGTTCAGCAGATGGAGAAAAGACATACTGGCAATGGTAACAAGTCCATCAATGGTTGCATCGCCACCAATTGGAAATGCAGCTCCACGAAACTCAATGTCCGTTTGAGGCCATAGTCCTTTTCCAGTCTAAAAAATACATTTTCCTACAAATCAATCGCCCCGTGAAAGTCAACGCCTCCTTTTCCATTTTACATGTATACTAAAATATATGTGATTTTATTCAAAAGAAGAAATTAGCCAAGTTATTTTCCAGCATCAATTTCAAACTGATCTCAAAACTCCGTAATGACAGAGTTAGGTCAAGAAATTTCGACATGCTGATGTTGAGTTCCCGAAATATCTAACGAACGAAAATCTATTCTAAATTTATCAGCTCACTTCTTAATATAGCGATTCAAGGACGAATTTATAAATTACTGAATAATTCCTACTGTAAATTACAAAATGAGAAAAAAAAGCATACGGCAAGGGAATCACCCATTGCAGCAATGATTCCAATATCTTCCGGACTCAAGTCACCCGTATCGGTACCAGTTACGAAATCATTTTTGATTTTTGGGCAACTGAATGTTTTCCTACTAATGAATGAATTATGAATAACAGAAATAGCACCATTTTGCAGCTCTTCGGAATCCATCGAAACGTGAAGTTGTACCGGAGATAAATTCCAAATGGTTTTATCATCCCTAAAACTTGCCCGATACACATGCTTTTTTCCATATGCAATGAATTGTTGAGAGAAAAAAAAATATTATTTAGAAACCTGGAAGTGAAGAGATATTTCCCGAGATTTGCAGTTATTGGAGTACAAAGGAATGGGATTAGAAAACAAATGGCTTTTTGAAATTTTTAAAACGTGAAATATCTTAACAGAAAAATATCAAATGCATATCACATTTGCGGGGAAAAAATGGATGCCTACATGATATCGTTTCCATTATTGATGATCTTGATATTTCTACAAGATCAATTAAAAGATAAAGGAAAAGATAAAACGTGAAGCGTGACGTACGTCTCTTCACTTAGGTCACTGCCACTTGAAGCAACTTCTTCCTTCTTCTCTTCATCATCTTCTTCTGAGCTAACTTCTTTAACTTGAATATTATGATCACCTTCTACTTTACTTTCCTTGAAATGCTTTTCAATTTGTTCCATCTCTGAAATTTGTAATGCACACAATCCTATCTTTAATTAGTTACAATTTTCATCACAATTACCTATGATAGAATAATAAGAATAATTGGCATGCATTTTAAATAGCGTAACATTTGCGCTACGCAGCATCACGGCATATACAGGATGTACATTTTTTTTGCAATAAATAATTTACATAATATTTGATATAAATAGTGTTACTATATTTCTTTGAGATTGAATGCAATTCCTGCAGAATATAAAAATTGGTAAAACCGAATAAACGAAGATAGCAAGATGGAGCGGTACTGACGTTGCTGAGGTGTTGGGAGTAATTTTGATTTAACGTCGAGAAATTTTTTCGTAGAATTTTTAACCTGAAATTATCCAAGTAATATGAGAGAATTTTATTTCCCATTCATAATCCTAAAGTTAAAAATTGCCGTATTTTTTGTAGAATTTTATTTTGACATAACAACTCATTCTAACTTTTAAATTTTAATTATTTTCTCATTTACATGTCAGCTTCAATTTAAAACTTAATCTATGCCAAATAAATAAAGAAGATTAAATAAACGAACGGTATTCAATGGTGCATCGATTAAATATTCGAATGTTTCTGGAGCACATGACAAAAGCGCCAAATAAATAAGTAATATATTATTACATATTATTCTCCAACCATTCATTGTCCACCCTCTAAAACTTTTCTTTCATATTAATGTGATGAAATAGTTAAGTTATAAATCTCGAAAAATTATGATTAAGAAGGAATTGATAATTCCACGGAAATTTCACTAACTTTTTGTTGATGGATAATTTTTATTTTGATTTCTTAACTGAAAATAATCGGTAAATTTCTTGAATGAAACTGAAATTGAGGATAATAAAGTGTAATGATTTGCTTGCACAAACATATCTTTGATTCATCAAATCAAATTAATCAGAATTTCGAAACTTCTCGGCCAAAGATCAAAATATAACACACAAGCATGATCGATTAATGTGAACGGTCCGATGAGGAGAAATGAGAATCATCTGCAAGTTACATTATTCAAATGGATGTGTATGTCTGTCTGTCTATGTAATAAATGATCTGTCTGTTCCATTGAAATGTTTGCTTATATGTTTAACTAAAGGATTCGTTATGTTCGATTTATTTCTGAATATCTATTAATAAATGTCTTATCAGATTTAACAATTATCATTGCTAATTATTGAAATACTATTAATTAGATTTTCTCATTTCAGATTGGGAAATTTGTCTTTTGTGGATTAAAAATGGAAGAATTTATGATGATATTTCTATAGAATTTTTTTAATCCATATTTTGATGATACTGTCAACAGACAGGTATGCATGTTTGCATTAGCTATTTCGGAAATTTAAATTGAATGACGAAGTTACTATTCTAATCATTCCGTAAAATTTCACAATAAATAAAAGAATGACTAATTAATTTAGTTTACATATAACATAAGCGATCTTAAAAAAGCATTTATTTTCTCTCTTTCTCTTCTAAATTATAAATATGAAATATAAAGGATATGCAAATGATTAATTGAATTTTATTTTTTTAAATCTATCCAATATCCCTCAATCATTCCCTCTCTCTCTCTCCCTCTCTCCCTCTCTCTCTCCGTTGTTTTTTCCTTTTTTAAATAAGCTTTATTGATTTATTTTGCAATGTCGTGATATTTAAATTGAATTTCATTTTAAATTTAAATTGAAATTTTTGGTTTGATTGAATACTTCGGTATAGATCAACAATTCTATAGAAATATCACTGATGAAATATCATTCCATAGAAATATCGTTATTTATTTTTCAACAAAGAATTCGGGAAAAAAAAAGAGCGATCAAATTTTTAAATTTTAAATTCTAAATATATCATTATTTCAGAGATGTACCATTTGAATAAATGAAACATCAAAAAATGAAACGAATAAAACAATTAAATTTTTTAGAAGATAATTAGAAATTATTCAAGTAAGTTCAATTCTAATTAAATTCTAATTTATCATTAAAGTATTATTATATTAAGACAATTAAATTTCATTGCAAATAAATTCAAATTCAAAAATTCCAAATATTCCACCTTAAAATTAGAAATCAAAAATTTCTTCAAAATATTTTTCTTTTTGAAAAATTTTAATTACTACCATTTCATTTCATCTTTGTTGGGATAAAAAAAAACTTTTAAATAATTTTAAAGAAATTATTTTCATTAAATTAAAAATTTCACTACTGAATTACCAGTTAATTAATTTATTTTGTTTTGTTTTATTGAAAATTTTACCCGATTTTTTTCTTTCTTTCATGAAATACACAAACGAAATTGATTGGAACGGGAATACAATGCTAGCTGTCAATAGCTTATAACAAAAATTTTATTAGCTAAAAGGAAGTGGGGAAAAAAAAGATCCAGAAGCTATAAAATTTCGTTCAAAGTTCAATATTTCGCGATCCCTTTGATGTATATTATCATTTATATTTCTGATAAATTATGCTATTTAGCAGTTCTGTCTATATCTATCTGTCTCTATTATATATTTGTTTATTTATATATGTTAGTGATAAATAATAATGAAAAAAATACAGTTGAAAAGAACGTGCATTGTTTCTTATTTACTTATTAATGAATCTGTAAATTTAAAAGTTTTCAATGTTATTAATTACTCTTTCAAACTTAATCACATAAATATGCAAACCTGTTCAGCTAACGTCAGGTGTTCCATTAATTGCCCATATTACACAGCAACCGGAAGAAAGAAGAAGAAGACAATGAGAAAGATAAATTAAGCATTATTATATTTTAGCTCGACCTCAAATATTCACATTTCATTTCGTTTATAAGCGTTCTTTTTTGATTGATATTGCTATCTAAGTGCTACCGTTTCCGAAATCCGTTCCGGATTGTAGTAATTTTTCTCTTTCAAATTTCGTTTCGTTTTTAAATTAATTAATGAAGCTGTAAATGTTTGTATAGTAAAAGAATTTTTCTTCTAAAAGTAAAGAAATTTATAAATTACAAAATTTTTGAAATAATATATTGAAGTGATAAGAAGCAGAATTCTTTTATCAATCAATATCATATCACACAATTTTTCATTTTTCTTTTTTGCATAGAACAACAAAAACATTCCAACGAATTTATCAATTCAATTCAAAAATGCTTCCTTTCATAAATGCTTCCTACGATATATTTATTTCTAAGCTAAAATGTTACAGACAGCTTAAATAGCCAATCAAATGTAATATGAAATGTTGCAAGGATTCAATTGAAGGTTTTAAGATTTTAATGTGAAATTTAAATAAAAAAACATTTATATAATCAATCAATCAATCAAGCAATCAATCGATTAATCACATCCTTTTTCTTTTCCTCTCCTTCTTATCTATAGATTTTTTAGAAAAGATTAATTGAATGAATTATATGAATTTATGAAATAGACAAAAATTTTACCTGTCAAATCAATTATCAATATATTATTACCTGATACAATTACTTTACAATTGTTCTATTGAATTATTAAATTAAATTGTCGAAAGATACGATACTATCAATTAATAAATTAATACTTCCATTAATTAAACAGCCAGAAATTATTTTAGTTCCAACTGAGATCGGTTAATTTAAATGAACTAATAAATGATCAGCTAATTTTTGGATTGCTTGGAAAATTTTTTAGGAATGTATTTCAGTGTGACAATTATTTGTTGGTACGGTAATAATAATAGTTTATTCATTTACTGCGTTATTTATTACTATTGTTGTTATTGTTTATTTATTAACTGGTTGAGTTAATTAGAAAGAAAACGATCGATAATTCTTTTAAATTTTTTCATTGTTTTAAAAACAGCTGTTACCTCACTTTTTGCTTTTTAGTTTCGTAAAAATAATTTTGTTATTTGTTAATTTATAACAAATAACGAAAGAATTTTGCAGAAATTACTCCACAAATAATTTCATTGAATGGTTGATTAATTAAAACGAATAGTTTACTAATGATTAATTATAGGAGTTAAAAATAATGACTTCAAAAATTTCAATATGATTCATTTCTTCTTCATGTAAACATTCAAAATGATATGTGTGTAATCTCAAATTGATTAAAATTAGAAGTTCATGCAACCTTTATTAAAGTACTCCAATAGTAAGTATATCGTCCGAAATGATTCATTCATCAAAATTTCTTAGTTAATGTTATTTCTTTTGTTTTTTTGTTTTTAGAAATTACCTTTACACTTAAAATACATTTAAATAATTAATTTTGATTATTGTTAAATTTATCCAATCAATGAATTTATTTATTTGTTTGTTTGTTTGTTTATTTGTTTGTTTGTTTATTTCAAATCAAACAATAAATTATTTTAATACTTAAATGAAATTTTCTTCTGTTCATTTATAATTTTAAACTTTTTTTTTGTTTAAATTTTCTTTTAAATTTGCAAAATAATATTGAATAATCTCTTTGGTAATAGAAGAAGAGGAGAAATAAAGAGAGAGAAGAGAGAGAGAGAGAGAAGAGAGGGAGAAGATAAGAGAAAAATTTTCAAAAATCTTTAAAATACAAATTGCAAAATGTTTTCCTCCCTCTTCTCAATGCTTCTTCTCTTTTCCAACTTTATTGTAATGAACAAAGGAAATGAAATTAGTTTAATTAATGTGTTCATTTGTTTGTTTGCTATTGTTTTACTTTCTTTCATCTTTCAACACTATCTCTTATCTTTACTGTTAAGTAATTTTAATGAAATTGAAAAACTTTTAAATTTTTATTTATCTCTCTTTCTCTCCCTCTCTCTTAATTTTGTTTATCTCTCTTCGGTTGGCACTTTCATTAATTTAATTTTTGTATTATTTGTTTTCTTTTTATGTTTTTATGGTTTAAATTATTTTATTCAAATTTAGTTGTTTTTTTTTTTTAAATTGTTTCTTTTTAAAATTTACTAATTTTCTTAATGAAATCATTTGCTTCTCTCTTTCTCTCCCTCTCTCTCTCTCTCTCTTCAAATCTTTTTTTATACAGATTTGATAATAATTTATTCAATTCATTTCATCTGATTATATTCTCAAACAGTAACACTTTTTGATTCAATTAATTCTTTGATAAGTGTCAAATACAGTAATACATTTTACAAATTTTAATCAAACCCACGGATTGATAATCAGTGATTATTCTGATAAGAAAATGTTAAGAGCAAAACGAATAGTTGACATCAAAAATTTTTCTTAATTAAAAATTAGGAAATTACTTCTTTTTTTTTGTTGATCCTAATTTTTAGAATTTAATATTTCAAATCTTTCAACACTAATTTTCTTCATCTTTAAATTTGAAGAGAATTTCATTTTTAAATTATTTCAAATTTACACTCTCTCTCTCTCTCCCTCTCTCCGTATGTCTAATTTTAAAATTGAAATTGAAATGAAAATTATAAGCATTTTTAGTGATCTTTTTTGCTAGCAAATAGCAAGCAGCTGATAGTTTTAAGGCATTACGAAACGAATTTCTAAATGAAATTATAATAAAATTGCATTTTCATTTTATCTGTGCTGATAAATCATTTTATCCTTCCATTCATCCTTCCTTCCCTCTCTCTCTCTCTCTCTCTCTCTCTTTCTTCTATCTCAATTTTTATTTATTACCAATTAGCTTCTATGAATCTTTTCAATCTAAAAAAGGACGTG